CGCCCCCGCGGCCCCGGTCCGTGAGGCGTGCGCCCAAGCCGCCATTACGCACGCGGAATAACCGTCTCCCAGCCGCCGGCCGGCCCTACGGGCTCACAGTGACCACCAGCACACGGCACGTCGGTCCCTGAGCCCCCGAAACTTACCTCCTCCGTACCGCCCATAACGCGACATTCTGACCGGCCCGCGCGCTCTGCTCCTTTCCTTGCAGCACCCGGGGCTCGAGTGGTTTTACACGTACAGCCCACACGCCCTGCCAACGGTCCCAGCAGCACTACAAGGAAGAGCCCGGCTCCGTGCTTATATAGGCGGCGCAGGCATCTTTGCGCATGCGTCATCTCAGCGTTCTGCGCGGCACAAAGGGCCTGGGCGGAAACAAACGAGAAGCGGCGCGGAGGGAATTTAACAGGTCGGGACACCGGCCACAGGCGGAGGGATACGTTACCATGGGAACGCCACGGTCCCGCTTCTGAACCTATGGCTTTCCCAAAGGCAACCTGCCCCCCCACCCTTTCCCTCTCCCTTTTGACAACTCTCCTGGTGTTCCTTCCGTACCCCCTACCCTTTCGTCCCTACCCCTTTTCAATTTGCCCTAATCTTGGAACACTCATCGCTAGTAATCTTGGTACAGGTGCGTTAGACCGGCCCACGCAAGGCTGTAAAATTTAACCGCTGAGGTTGCAGCTGTCTCCGCGTGCCGCTTTTCTGACGGGGACCTGTCCTACTCTACTACTCTGACCTGTGGGGTTGTTCAGAGGTAATCGGTAGTGTGACCAGGATTCACACTCCAGGAGCCCGCCATTCTGAGTAATGATCTTTGCACCATAGGCCTCTCGGAAGGGGGACGCGCCCCGGGACGCTGAGTACTACCGTCCACTTGCCCACCTCCATCGACCCTCAGAGCCCCTCCGGAACCAGTCACCAATTTGTTACCAGCAAGGTTGGTCTGAGTTTTTGGAGGGACAAAGGAAGGGTTGTGGGATTTTTTTTTTCCTGATTATGTTGGACTTGCTACAGAACTAAAGAAGTTTGGCCGTGGCAGTTCTGAAATTATTTGCATCTACAGCGCAAAGTATTTTGTTCTTCCTTTCTAGCGCTTTCTGTTTAGTATTATAGTATCACGTCACATCCTCCAGTGCTCAGATCTTGAGGACTGAGACCTTCTGGTCGTCTTGGAATGTCTCCCCTTACTGGAGAGTAAGAACTGCTTACAGTTGCTGGGCATGGTGGCACACACACCTGTAATCCAGGCATACCGTAGGCTGAGGCAGGAGAATTGCTGTGAGTACAAGGCCAGCCCGAAGTACATAGCAAATCTCTGTCTGAACTCCTCCCCCTAATTGCTTACAGTCCAGTTTTGATTGTATACAATATTGGCCAGACACCAACTCTACAAATACAGATTTAAGGACTTTCTATCAGCTACAAAAAAACAGACATTATATCATAAATACTTGAAATAGTACGATGAAAATGTTACACGTAAATGAGGAAATCCTTAGGTCTTTGTATTTTTATTTATTTATTTTGTTAGGAGAGACTGAACTCAGGACCTTGTGCTTGTGGCAGCGGAACCACTGAGCTAAATCCCCAGCCCTGTATTTTTATCTTTTTACCTACTCTAACCTCACTTGGGGTGTATAGGTGTGGGGTGTGGAGTACAGGGAAAGGAGGGCTACTTGGTGAATAAAGTATGGATTTTCTCCAAGTAATTACTGCTACAAATATATATCTGCCTCAAGAAAATAGCCAGGAAAATAGAATCTCTATAAACGGTGTTGTGTTTATTTTAACTCTTAACAGGATTTTTGAGGGGCCTTGAGATTGCCAAGCAGATGCTGTGCCACTGAGCTACATCCCCAGCCCGGTTTTTGGTGTTTTGAGGCGGGTTCTCTGTGTAGTTTAGGCTGACTTTGAACTCACTGTGTAGCCCAGGCTGGCCTCAAACTCACAGCATCCTCCTGCCTCAACCTCGGGAGTGCTGGAATTACAGGCATGCGCCACCACTAAAAATGTTTGGGTTCTGTTGAACTAAAGAGAATCTGTAAGCAAATAATAGTGTAAACAGAAGCAGTTTTCCAACAAATGAGAAACTGCTTTCAAAGTGGGGAGCAGGGAAGATCGCCATATCAAAGCCCTTGACAGGTGGGAGCCGAGCTGTAGGTTTGGTGCAGTACTGCAGAGTTAACCTGGCTCATGTACAGGCCTCTTCTGGAGACAGGCGTTTGATAAGCTAACTATGTATTTATCCCTAGTAAAGCAGGACCAATTCTTGGCTTGGCTTTGCTAAACTCAGGAAAAGATAACAGCATGGCACACACTATTTCCATATGTTACTATTCTACGGGCTCCTTCTCTAAGAACACACAGCCAATCTTTGCACTAAACATCCATCCGAATCAGGGGAATTATATTATGCAGAGTACTTTTATTCCTGCTGATTCTCTTTAAAATCAGCTTTTTCCATGTAATTTATTTTTTTTTTTTGGTACCGGGGATTGAACTCGGGTCCTTGCACTTGCAGGGCAGGCCGCTGAACTGCTGAGCTAAATCCCGGCCCCTTTCCATGTAATTTTCTACGTGTAAAATTTTGTGTTGAGATCGTGTTCCCAAATTCAGTCCGAATGAATTATTTAATTCCAGTTCTACACTCTGATAGTTCCTAATATGAAATAGTGAGTAATTCTGAACATGTTGTAGTTAAATCTTGGCAATGTTATTAGTTTATAAAGGGAGAATAATTAACCTCTTTTTACATCAGTTTTCAAAATTTATCTGCATTTCCTAGCTTCAGTATTTCCAGAGAAGCATTAAAGAAGTTCACTTTTTAATCTTACTGCCCTCACCACTTTAGTTTCACGTTTAAATTATTGTCACCATTTTAGCTTAGATGTGAAAAACCTTAAAAGAAAAGTGATTTAACTCTTTTGCACAAGTATCTATTTTTAATATAGAGAAATGATGACATCACTCTTGTAGTATGCATTTTTGTATGTATACATTTATGTAATATGCTAGGTATGTATGTACTGTAGGTCAATCCAAGCAACCATGTTTAACCACAGCTTGCTTGCTTTATTAACGTGATCGTCTGATCCCTTCAACATACATTTAGGAAATTTGGGGGAGGAAAAGTTTTAGAGGTGTGTTCATAAATCTTTCATACTTTGCAAAAAATTAATTTCTCATTAGCCAAGAACTGCCTGGATTACAATCTATTAAAGTATGAGAAGTGGAGAGAGCCACAATAAAGAACTCCAAATCTTTGACCATCTTCAGAGAGTGAAAACTAGCCTGGTGTGGAGGCGCACGCCCGTAATCTCAGAATTTGGGAGGCTGAGACCAGAGGATCACTGCAAGTTGGAGGCCAGCCTGGGCTGCATACAGTTCAGTCCAGCCTAAACTACAAAGCAAGACCCTGTCTCAAAAATCCAAAAAACAAAGAGGGAGGGAGGGAGGGAGGGAGAGAGAGACACTAGAAGGGAAAACATGGAAACTAAGCTTTGTAAATAAGAGGGAAAGGGGCTGAAGAGGGGAGGGGAATGGGAAAAAAAGAAACAAGACTTATCATGTACAAACACAAAGTCCTAAGAAAAAATTGTATTAATAAAAGTAAATTAAGGTTTCTCCCTTTCCTGTATTTTACAGCTTCATTCATATATGTATACATATTATTTTGTTTTGTTTTGTTTTTGTACCAGGCATCAAACTGAGCTAAATCCCTGGCCCAGCTTCCTATATTTTTTTAAGTGGTGTGGGAAAGTTTAGATGGCAAAATTATTTGAACTGGGAAATCACTATTTAGTAGTTATGTAAATGGAAATGTGTTACTTGTTATTTTAGGTTGCAGATTTCTCAGGAGCAAATGAAGATAATAAAGGGTGTTATGCGTGTAGTTTACATGTATTTTGGTTATATTCGGATTTTCTGTTATGATCTGTATTGCTTATAATAAAAAATAAATGAAGTCTTATTTTGAAAAAGGATATACATTTTATGTTTGCTTGAGATAGGGTCTCACACTGTAACCCAAGCTGGCCTTGAACTTGCAGCAACCCTCCTGCCTCAGCCTCCCGAGTGCTGGGATTACAGGTGTGTGCCACTATGCCAGGCTCTTATTTTGAAAAAGGAGTACATATATTTTAAGTGGAAGTAGTAATGTAGTAATGGAGGAATTAAGTGAGATAGTTAATACAGTAGAGAGAGAGAATCTAGCATTGGTAATACAGCATAT